AGATCAAAGGTTGCAGGCGAGACAGGGGAGATGGAGGAGCCCATCACAGGAGAGGTGCAAGTCTTTCTATCTTCCAAAGAGAGTTCGGTCTCCATGAGATCTGTCGGGGTTGGTTTCGTTCTTATTGTCTCGAATTCTCATCTGCCTTCTTGACTTCTCCCAATTATCTTTTATGAACAATTGGTATTGGTTTAAATGTGGATTTTAGGCTGAGTACATGTCCAGGCTTGTTAAGATATCTGGGATTGCGATCGCTGCTTCCAGAGTCAAGGCCAAGGCCACATACGTAACTCTGATGTGCAAGAATTGCAAGAGCATAAAGACTGTGCCTTGTCGACCAGGGCTTGGAGGTGCCATCGTTCCCCGGTCATGTGACCATGTGCCTCAGGTGCCCAATCATCAAAACATTTCCTTCTACTCCTTGTTTCATGTTTTTCTCATTTGCACTCGAATTGTTTTTTTTTTTTGATGGATTTTCTTTTGCTCAGGCTGGTGAAGAGCCTTGCCCTTTGGATCCTTGGATAGTCGCACCAGATAAGAGCAAGTATGTTGACCTGCAGACCCTCAAACTGCAGGAGAATCCAGAGGTCAGGAATTCTCTTCCAGTTAGCAAGTTCATGTAGTACCGATCATCATGTTGGTTCTTTGAGGATAGGCAACTTCCGCTTTTGTTTGAGAGTTTGTTTCATTTGCAATGTTTTTATTGTCTTCAAGGATGTCCCAACTGGAGAGCTGCCAAGAAATACACTTGTATCCATAGATCGGCACCTGGTTCAGACTATTGTGCCTGGTACAAGGCTGACAGTTATGGGCATCTATAGCATCTATCAAGCATCTGCAGCGTGAGGAAGAAGTGGATTCAGTCAATTCTTACTCTAGTACCTTCCTTTTTCATTTCTCAGTTCTAGATCATTGACTCTTTAGTGCTTCCAGTCAGAAAGGCGCGGTTGGAGTTAAACAACCTTATATTAGAGTTGTTGGATTGGAACAAACCCGTGAAACAAATTCCTCTGGTCCATCAACCTTTACCTTAGATGAGGTAACTCCAGTAAAATATGCTTCTGCAATTGCTTTCTGTTGATTGAAAATTAATAATCAATTTTTTCTCAATTAGGAATTAGAATTCAAAGAGTTTGCTCAAAGGCCTGATGCATATGCTAAGTTATGTTCAATGATTGGACCTTCAATCTATGGCCATGCTGATGTAAAGAAAGCTCTGGCTTGTTTGTTATTTGGGGGTTCAAAGAAGGTACAACAGTGCAACTTATCATCCTATAAGCAAATGAAATAAGATCTCAAAGGTATCTAGATATTCTTTTTGCCAAATAATGCAGAGGCTACCAGATGGCGTACGGTTAAGGGGAGATATCCATGTCTTGCTACTGGGTGATCCATCAACAGCAAAATCACAGGTTGACATTCTGGATAGTAGATGCAACTTAGCTTTTGACAACAGTATGTTCTGAATTCGTATAGTCACTCCTGATTAGATGCTATGCATAATTTTGATGAGAAGAACAAGGTGGTCATTCAGATAATTAAGGCATGTGCATACAAACTTATCATGTATCAGTCATCGAACAATTTGTTTACCATAAGCTAGCATCTTTATGTGCATCATCAAAACTCGAGTCTAACTTGATTTTTTCTCAAATAATTTCTTCAACAAGATCTTAATATTTTCATTATTAGGCTGTCCATAGTAGAATTTATTATGTCACCAATAATTAGCTTCTATTCACCATAGTTTGAAGAATTAGCCCAAGGTGGTCTTTCAAGGAATCATGACATCATTATAAATTTATCATACATAAATTTTTGACGAGTTATTTAGCATGAGCTATCATGTTTATGTGCAGCATATGCTTTATACTATACGGGAAGCATTTGAGGTTTTATTTTTTGAAAATGTGTATATTGACTTGATTTATTATTAAATGGACTCTTCAAGATGTCAAAAAATGAGTCAAGTCTTTTTATACAACTACACAAAGAAGCCATAATGCCTTAACCATTTGGGTTTGTCTTTGGATGTTTTACCACCATTAAGCTTTGTGCGAAGCGATACCCCTAGTTAAATAAAGAGCATTGAAATTCGTGTTTATAGTTATTGGTAAAACTAGTAATAGGCTTTACCTTTTTGTGAACTTGTTTGGAAATTTTATTGATCCTATGGCCTTATCAATGCTGATGTGAATATTTGCTGTTTTAACACCATAATTAGATCACTGCAGCCATCGAAAACAGTTAAAGATGTAAACATCATAAAAACGAAGAGTCCTTTTCTTCTTGTTGATTAAAATTTTCTAAACTATTACAGATATCCAGTTCCTCTGGATTTGCAGTTATTACAAGTTCTCTTTTAGTATACCAGATATACCTTGCTTTTAATGAATTTTCATGTTTGCTAGTTTCTCAAGTTTGTCGAGAAAACAGCTCCAGTGGCTGTTTATACTTCAGGAAAAGGTTCGTCTGCTGCTGGTCTAACTGCATCCGTGATTCGTGACAGTAGCTCAGTAAGTCTACAGGCTCTAATATTAATGCATTACTTGATCTCTAAATTGGTTTTAGTTTTCTGGGCATAGTTAGTATGGAACTAAGAACTTGCAATTACAATAGTTGTCCTAACTAAAAGTTGAATGCAATGCTTTCAGCGTGAATTTTATCTTGAAGGAGGTGCCATGGTTTTGGCTGATGGTGGAGTAGTTTGTATTGATGAATTTGACAAAATGAGGCCTGAAGATAGGTAAAATATATTACAAGCTCAATTCAGGTTACATTTTTATTTTGATGCCGTGCTTCATTTTTCTTGATTCTGTTTTCAGAACTTTGTTCTGATATAGAACTGAGCATTCCTTTTCTTCAGAGTTGCTATTCATGAAGCCATGGAGCAGCAAACTATTTCTATTGCCAAAGCAGGAATTACAACAGTACTCAACTCAAGAACATCGGTACTTGCAGCTGCTAATCCTCCATCTGGGCGCTATGATGATCTTAAGGTGTGTTAGTTGGTTTCTATAATATTTTTTTAATTAGTTTATTGTACATGGCTTCACACATCTTTTGTTTACAAGTTCTACCTTCTTGCAGACTGCACAGGATAACATTGATTTGCAGACGACCATCCTATCCAGATTTGACCTGATCTTCATTGTGAAAGATATCAGAGAATACGATCAAGACAAGGTTCACATTGATTTGAAGTTGTGCTCAATTTGCTTATCAAATTTTACTCCTGACACTAATTCCTTTTGGCAGAAAATTGCTAGTCATATTATTAAAGTTCATGCTAGTGGTGCTGCGGCCTCCAAAAGCACCAATGCTACTGAGGGAGAAAATTGGCTGAAAAGGTATGTATGCTATTTCTGTGATTATCGTGGATGGGAAGTTACATTTGCTTAATATTCTGATTGTTCTCCAGAAATATGAAAAGATATATGCTAACTTAAGATTTATAAAAGGTACATTGAGTACTGCCGGGTCACATGTCATCCACAGCTATCAGAAAAGGCCGCTGAAATGTTGCAAAACAAGTATGTAGAGATCAGGCAGGTATGGTATAGTTAATTCAAGATCATGATGCACTTGCTGTCTGGAACTGGATCATTCTGCAGGTTTGAATTACCTTATACTAGTAGTTACATGTGACTTTGTAGAGAATGAGGCAGCAGGCCAATGAGACTGGAAAAGCTGCTGCAGTTCCAATTACTGTCAGGCAGCTTGAGGCAATAATACGTTTGAGCGAATCTCTAGCTAAGATGAGATTGTAAGTATCATTCATGTGTATATATATATATATATATATATATATATATATATATATATATATATATTTTTGTGTTATTAGTTAAGGTGAAAGTATATGTTTGTGTTATATGTAATATCATTCATGAATTCAGGACTTCTGTTGCTACCCAAGAGCATGTGGAAGAGGCATTCAGGTTGTTCAATGTTTCCACAATGGATGCTGCTCGTTCTGGAATAAATGAGCATTTGAATTTAACTCCTGAGATTGCAAACGAAATCAAGGTATAAAACAGGCCTGTTTGCTTCTAGTTTCTATCAAATTTATTGGATCTCTTAAATAACACTTTCAACCCCATGAATAGCAAGCCGAGGCACAAATAAAAAGAAGAATGGGCATCGGAAGCCACATATCAGAAAGGCGTCTCATAGATGAGCTTGCGAGAATGGGCATGAACGAGTCCATAGTAAGGAACTCAATTTGCATGCAAATCTTTTGTAAATTCCTTGAGTTACTCAACTCCACCTAATATCTGCTAAATATTTCAGGTGAGGAGAGCTCTCTTAATTATGCATCAAAGAGATGAGGTGGAGTATAAGAGGGAACGTCATGTTATTGTGCGCAAAGCTTGATCTAAAAGTTTTTACTAGCTAATATCATCAAAGAGATGAGATGTAGATGCTTTTTTGTTGAATTCAAATGTTTGCTATAATTTCATCTTGAATGTGACAAATATTCAACTTTTCGGTTGTGGGCATGATGGAGCTTACTCTGTTGATCACAAACATTGATCATTATTTTATAGGACTACTAAAAATATAAATTGTTTTCCATCTGCAAGCTCGGAATGAGATATGTATTTGTGTAGGATAAGTATAAAAGAAGTGTGTTGCTGCAAACAAATGGGTGGGTTATTTTTGGAGAAATAGACAAGCCTCTTCAATCAGATGCAATTTGGATTGTTGCCAACTGCACCTGTATGTATGTTTCTAGGATGGCTTTGCAGGGGAAATTGAGGCCTTTTACCAAAAGATCTCAACTCATTCTTCCTCGAGTGTGTTTCATTGTTTTGAAATTTCTTCTATTCTGGCTCGAGTGAGAAACTTTCATTGGGGGGTGTTCATTTATTTATACAAACATATTCCAGTTTTACGATATTATTTATGCATTCCTGATGATTACCTTTTCTCTTGTGGCCTTTATGCTTTAGTCCAAAGAGTGAGTGTGTGTACGTGCAAAGTTGGAGAGGCAATAAAGCAGCAAGAAAGAGAGCAAAATTTCATCTTCTACTCCAATGTACTAAAATAAACAGCCTACACATCCTATCGCGGATTCCGGCGATCTCTCCACCGTTTGCATAAGCTATATCGAGTTACCAAAACCCTTCCTTGAGAAGATAGACCACAACCACCATCCTTCATGACTCGAACAACATCCGGCTATCCGGCGGCAGCTCCTCACAGAGTGTAATGCTGCGGCATGCCCTCGATGTCCAGTCCCTTAAGCTTCACCACGGACTCGACATGCCCCTTGAGCGTGTGCAGCTCCCGAAGCCTGCACCAAAAACATCGCCCTTTGTAAATCTCTATGTTCTTAATCGAACAAATACCTCTCTTCTCTATCGGTGTAGAATTCTAGCATATCTTGGAGTGTGTGACCTCACCTTGCAACCTCGGCTCGCCTCTTGGCCTGCTCCGCGATCTCAGACAACTCCCTGTAGTTGTTGTTGTCGTCGAACAGGCCCGAGGTGTCTGGGGGCAGCTGTAGGCCATGCAGGGTGCGCTGAGCCAGCGCCCACTGTGCCTCTCTCTCACCCTTCCCGTAATCCTTCTTCGAGGTGAAGGCCGTCTGCATTGTTACGAGTAGCCATTAGACATCAATCGTCGGCAGTTCCGGAGAAGAGAAGAGACGGTTAACCTTGTTCTGGAGAAAGTTGTCCCAGGCTCTTCCACTCAGAGCGTAGCGAATGATGAACTTGAGAACGTCGAGAGGGAAGTAGGTGATGAGGCTGTAGAGCCAAATGACCCCAGCCCACCCCCATCCGATGCCCTGGATCCTGGCAAACCCCCACGAGGCATACACCGCGATGACAGTAGCCACCTACAAGGGGATGGATGCCCATCGATGAGAGACTCTAGGAGTAATTCTGCGTGCGTGGAGGATGCGAAGCTCACCAACTGGGCAGCGATGAAGGCAAAGACTAGCAAGAGACCGGGGCGCTCCACGAAGGACCAACTCCTCGACCGGGTGACGAAGATGAGTGCTTGACTGATGATGCTCACTTGCAGATACAGCGCTGCGGTCATCTCATCACTGTGGTCCTTGATTGACCTCACACCGAACGCTTCCTGCACCGTTAAAGGTGGAGATCATCAACGGGTTCTCTGCTTTTGCCTGCCTATCCATTTAATTTCCTTTTGGTTTAGTTACTCACGGAGAAGAAATCGGTGTCGTGAGCAACGTAGAAGAAGACCACGGTCATGATTGCAAGGTAAGCACCGAGAACGATGCCGGTGGCGAAGATCTCCCGGAGCTTCCATGAGTCGGGCAGAGGGGAGGCCTTGACTCGGTCCTTGGAGATGGTCATGATGGTGCCATCGTTGAGGATGGCGATGACGAGGACCATGAAGGGGGAGAAGTCGAAGCGCCAGATGAGGGCGACGAGCATGAAGCCGAGCACGATGCGGATGGTGATGGAGACGGCGTAGATGGTGTAGTTCTTCATCCGCTGGAAGATGGCGCGGCTCGTCAGCACTGCGCTCACGATCACACTCAGACCGGGCTCCGTGAGCACGATGTCCGAAGCACTGCGTGCGGCGTCCGTCGCGTCTGCCACTGCGATGCCGATGTCTGCCTTCTTCAGAGCTGGTGCGTCGTTGACGCCGTCCCCTGTCATGCCACAGATGTGCTTCTTCTCCTGTAGCCTCCTCACTATCTCGTACTTGTGCTCTGTAGGAACGTCTCACCATTAATCCATCGGAGATCAGATAGATCCTCCACGCAATGCAGTGGGGGAGGTACTATTATTCTTACCGGGGAAGACTCCGGCAAAGCCATCAGCCTTCTCGATGAGGTCATCGATGGGGAGGCCGGTGGTGTCATCGTTCTTCTCGCCGAGGAGGGTGGAGGACGGATACATGTTGGTGCCCATGCCGAGCCTACGCCCTGTCTCTTTGGCAATGGCAAGCTGGTCGCCCGTGATCATCTTGACATTGACACCCAGGTTGAGCGCACGGCGGATGGTCTCGGCACTGTCATGCCTCGGGGGATCGAAGAGGGGCAACAGACCCATGAATTGCCATGGAGCGCCGGCACTCTCCTTGCTCGCCTCGGGCACCTCCTGCCTTGCCACACCCAGAGCGCGGAGGCCGCGGTCGGCGAACTTGCCGATCATGGCATGGACCTTCTTCCGGGCGTCCTCTTTCATGTTGCAGAGGTCAATGATCTGATGTATGCGTGAGATAGAAGCGAATTCATGATGGTGCTAAGAGTTCATATAATGAATACATTCCAGAAGATCGAACCCGTTTACCTGCTCAGGAGCGCCTTTGCTCGCGCGATGCCATTTGCCTTTCGAATCGACGTATGTGATGGCAGTGCGCTTCTCTACTGGATTGAAGGGCAGAAAGTGGAGTTCCTGGATTCCAGCTCGTGCCTGTGAAAGATCATGGATGTGATCGAATCAGATAAAAAGGAAGCATTCTATCGCTCGTTACTATGTAACATGAACCCCTTCCTACCTCCTTGGGGTCGGCCAGCATCCCGACAATGCAGGCATCAATGGCGTCCTGGTTCTCAACCCTGGAGGCCCTTGCAGCGTACAGGACTACCGTATCCTTATCCATGTCCTTCACGAACACCTGTAGCAAAACCGATAGAAGATCATGCTAATTCGCTCTGGATCACGTCAAGAATTAATTGAGGTCGGAGATGTAGGCGTCACCTCGATCAGGCTCTTGTCGACGGTGAGCTTGTTGAGGGTAAGGGTACCAGTCTTATCACTGCAAAGCACGTCCATGCCGGCCATCTCCTCGATGGCAGTCATCCTCTTGGTAATTGCCCCTTGCTCTGACAGACGGTGGGACCCGATGGCCATCGTCACCGACAGCACAGTGGGCATGGCGATGGGAATTCCGCCGATGAGCAGCACCAGGAGGTTGTCGATGCCGTCCCTGTATCGCCGGTGCTGGATCGGGTACATGACGATGATCTCGACGAGCATGCCGAAGGCGATCGAGCAGATGCAGAAGTTTCCAATGGCGGTGAGCACCTTCTGGAAGTGGCCTACGTTGTTGGTGCTGTCGACGAGGTGGGCGGCCTTTCCAAAGAAGGTGTGGACGCCGGTGGCGATGACGACGGCCTCGATCTCTCCTTGCTTGCATGTGGAACCGGAGAAGATCTCATCGCCTGGGTTCTTGGTCACAGGGAGGGACTCGCCGGTGAGCGCCGACTGGTCGATCTTGAGCGGGTCACCCTCGAGGAGGCGGGCGTCGGCAGGGATGATATCACCCAGCTTGATGCTGATGATGTCACCGGGGACGAGGATCGCAGCCTCCTGCTCCGACCACTTCCCATCCCTCAGCACCTGCCACCGATCAACCGACCCGTTAAGTCGACCCAATCCGCAATAGACGCAGGAACTCATGGAACCGCGGTGGAAGACCTTAGTCTTAGGGGCGAGGCCAGCCATGAGGGCGGCGGCGGCATTGCCTGCGTTGTTCTCCTCGATGAAGCTGATGGTGGAGTTTATGATGAGGAGAACGACGATTCCGACGAAGTCCTGCCAGTCCGGTGGCTCACCCTGTTTGCATGAATGCATGCATGCATGCAAATGATTACTGCTTCTTCCGAAAACCTTCTCTCAGCAATCATGGAGATATATGTAAGACACACAAGACACAGAATCGTTACCCCTCCGTTAGCCAAGACGATTGCCATGATGGCAGCGATCTCCATGACCCACGACAGCGGATTCCACATGAATCCTAAGAACTTGAGGAACTTGCTCTCCTGTCATCATTTCAAGAACAGGGGACGTATGGATTAGCTGCAAGGTGAAAGAAGATGAAAGGTGAAGTTTGTAGCAGTAGTATCCATGCACCGACCGTCTTCTCCTCGAGCTTGTTGGGGCCAAAGATCTGCAGTCGGTCCTCGCCCTCCTCGGCGGTGAGCCCTTCCTGGTTACATTTCAGATGCTCAAAGACCTCGCTCACGGGAACCTTCTCCTGAAAGGAAGCGAAGAGGAAGCAAGTAAGTCTACCAGGTGAAGAAGCGATGTCATGGCAACTGGAAAAGATAAGAAGCTAAAAGAGTCGGAGAAATATCTGACAAGATCGACGCTCTCGTTCTTGATGTCCTCCAGGGACACGGACTTGGTGCCGACTCCAGTGTAACCGGTGGCCATCCTCCTAGAAGAAGGATGTGAGGCTGGTAGGGTGCAAGGAGGAGGGAGAGAAGAACAGGGTCTTCTTCTTCTTCTCTCCTTTCTCGGACCTCCTCCCTTTGATGTACTTGTTTCGATGGGAACTCCGAAACCCGCCAATTTATAGTAGAGGAGGCGGGAAAGAGAAGTGGTCGGGGGGAGAAGACGAGGGCCGGAATTCGGGGGTCGCCTCTGAGGAGAGCAAAGCCCGGTTCGCGAGCGCGGGGGTCCGGCAGAACCGGTCCTGCCATCGACGTGGTGGGATGGCAAAAGAGACTAATTTGAAGTAAGCATTAACGCTTCCAACTCAGCTACTATCATTCGCGCACGCAAAGCCTCAACCCATCAAACTAGAACAGGAGATGAAGCGGCTGAGGCCGGAATGTTCAGATCGAGCCAGGAAATACGAATCGATTATGAATCAAATCGATTCGATCGATTATAACAAAATCAAGTTTAATCTAAAAGATATTAAATTTAGTATCATAAAACTTTAATCGATTCAAACCGACTCAAATGTTCAAATTTATAAATAATATAAACTTAATTTTGTAAATATTATTGATTCTAATTCTATTCAATTAGATTAAATTGATTTATAATTATAGATATAATAATAAAGTTAACCTTTGAAAGTGATAATGGGTAGTCCCAATATAACATATATTTGAGTATGATGAGAAGAGTCACTAGAAACTTTTTATTTTATTTTATGGAAAATCGCTTACCTTATTAATTTACAAAAAATGCATGATGTGATATAGAGAAAAAAAAAACTCATAAAAAAGAAAATGGTTATTAAAACACAAATATTAAGTTTTCTTCTACTGATTCTCAAGAATAATTACTATTCTGCATATATGACTTGGAGTAAGTAAAAATAGATTAACTATCTGAAACATTAATCCGAAACAACAACAAGAAATATCTTCTTTTTTCTTCTTCTTTTGAACTTATTGGAAAGGAAGACACACGATCTAAGCTTTTTCTTGATCTTGATGAGTCATGGTTCAAACAATTTGGAACCATGACTTCATGTTATTAGTCAACTCCTGTGTTGATCATGTTGAATTCCATGTTTTGAATTGAACCAAGACCCATAAATTCAACTGGAAAGACTTTGCTGGAGATTTCCTCTTTGACCATCCTTTTTTTTTTTTGTTGTTGTTGTTGTCCGCCATCCAATTCTTGTGAAAAACAATTTAATTGCACATATCATTTTCCTTGGATTGTATCAATTGCAGGTAGACAAATCCTCTTATTCCTTTATGGTATTGTTAACATCATCTAATTTACAGAATCTTTTCACGAAAGAAAATATTCATTACAGTGCATCTTTTAATTTCATGAAAAAAAAATATATTTATAATTTTTTCCTTCGTCATTATCATTGTCTTTTAACATAAACTCGTGTTTCTCTATCTTTCTCTACGAATTTTAGATTCAATGTACTTAGTTTTACCCTCGTAAAAAAAAATTATTTTTGTGAGTTGAACCCTAATAATCTAAATTATTAAAGAGATAATTTTATTTTGATGCTTAGGTTTTTGTATGTGAATATAACAAATAAGTATTAAAGTAACTTGAGAGAAAATGAATCAACATTAAGTAGTTTCCTAGAGTGAGATGAACATTATATACCTTATTCTTCTCCTAGGGGTTGAATATTCAATATCATTGATTCCCTGTAAAGATTTTGATACAAGGAAAGATATGCTTAAAAGAAAAGAAAGTGGACGAAAGGATCAAATATTTTCATATGTAGTCGACAATATATGAAAAAACGTATAATTAACAAGATACAACATAGAACTTTTTTAAAAAAAATTGATATCATTGATAATAATTGAAAATTCACACCCCTCTACAAACATTACATTTTATAGTGTAATAGTGAAAAATTACAGGAGATAAGTTTCATGTTGCTCCCGCTTTGGTGATAAAAATGGATTGGCTCATTAAGCTTGTCTTAACAAGAAAAAATGAATATAAATAAATAATTAAGCTCATGGTTATTTGTTCTATGCTTCTACTCTTAGAAGAAGTTAATATTTTTCTAAACTTGATGGTTTATTTTTTTATTTGTCAGCAAAATTACACTGATCATGCTAGAAAACCAATTAATGTAATGCTTTAAATATATAATATTTTAATTAAAAAATATTTTATTATAATTAATATTCATCGTAAGAAATTAATAACTAACAAAACAGCTAATTGCTAGTCACTTGGAAGCCAATCACGTGACTGATGACACGTGACACGCTAAATAGTTTTTTTTGCTTATTATTATTTATTGATATTTTCTCACTTTATTTTGTATGTTGCATAAATTATGATGTTCTTATATCTGTGCAATGAGAATCAGATCGTGATAAGATTATGATAATAAAATAGATTCACCTTTAAATATAGACGTTAAATAATCTCAGTCGTAAGTTACTCGAGAGGGACATCGAGATAATCAAATAGATTGATCGTAAGTTACTCTAGAGGTGACTGTCCGTACATATGGTATGTGTTGCGACAAGTAGAGGTTCAGATATGAGATATCTGTTGGAGCCCCTATCTTATTAGATATCTGGTAAGCTATGACTTATTGGATCTTATGGATAAGATCCAATAAGAGCCAATAAGAGATTATTGAGTAAAGATCCATTAATCCAAGAGGTTTGGATAATTGGATAGAGATCCAATACCCAATAAGACATAATCCATTAGGGTTAAATGGTATGAACCTTTACAAATAAGAGGGCCCAAAAGATGGTATAGGCTAGTCACCTCTTGGTCGACAACCTCAGTTGAGGGTGTGTGGATAGCAAGAAGGGTCGACCCCTTCTTGATCATATGGTGCGCGTGGAGAGAACGATAATGCAGTGATTTAAGGAGCATCTTCACCGCATCTACTATGTGGATCACTGCTAGAGAGGAGGATAGTTAACATCCTTCATCTACCCCTATAGATTTGGGATTTTTCAAGGATATATGATATCCCTAGGTAATAAATCTTACTTGATACGTGCGATTTTCGATTTTACGTTTTGTATACCAATCTTCGCATGACGACGAGATACTTTTTTTGAAAAATTTATGTTTTTTATTTTCTGTTCTTTCGCTAGACATATGATGCTCTAATCAGATTTTCCAATACTAATAATTAATATCATGATATTTAGCATTCAGCAAATCCCAAGAAAGGATAACATAGACCCATCGAAAAATATCCTCTACCATTTAGTGGGATCACCACAAAAGTCTTAACTCAAAAGAATTTACATAACGATTAGATGGCAACCACTATTCTAAAGCCACTTTGATGAGAAATATTATTAAATATATGAAAACTAAGATTTTTTGTTAATGAGCTAGTCGAAGCAAAAAAAGTGTGCACGCATCAAGCATGGTACTACATGCTCTATATCCTTATTGCATCCCGTGTTGTGTTGTTTCTATCCTGTTGAGGTCATTCATGTACTGTTCAAGATCCATGAGAGGACTTGCATATAACACATTAGTAGAAGGACTCTGGCTTTCAAGATTCTATGATAGAACTATTATTAGCTAACCCTCAAGCAGGATGTCGAGGAATACGTTTGATGTTGTAACAAATGCTAGTGTAATGCTTGAGTCTAAAGGTTACCTATTCTAAAATTAATCCTAGTGATGCAGCCTTATTCTTTACAGAGTGGGGACTAGATATACTCGGACCTTTCTTACTAACCATAGGGCAAACAAAACATCCCCTTTCTATTTAGCATAGAGAACTGAAGCAATGCTCCTAATCGAGTAGTACCAACTATTCAAACTCATCTCCTTCCGAGATTGAAGCATTTGTTACCAGCACCAAAGACGATGATGAGGTTGATAACTAATCCAAGTCCAAGGTGTTGAAGGACGAGGCTGAGGATGATATTGCATACCTTTGAAAATTGAGGTTGCTTTGAAGCCCTAAGGGTGTTGTTCATAGAATTTCTAATTGCAAGATAAGACGAGGAATATTTGAGATAGTAAAAGATAATTTACAAAGGTTAAAGATGATGCTTGCCAATTACTTGTTTAGCTCCCATACACCTCCAGGAGAGTGGGACATATGACATTATCCAACATAATCAAGTACATATAGTACAATCCTAATAGCTCAATGGTTATACAAATTATCAAAAAAATCATATCGAATCCACTATTATCTATGGAAAGGCCACATTGCTAGAAACCACTATTCCATATTTTTCTTCGATAGTGGGTGGTTTTAATGTATGATCGAGTATCAGATCTTTCTTGATCTGTTTGGATTCTCTCACCCGTCTAAGGAAAGAGCACATGTGACAATTGCCCCAATTAGCCCTATGTGCTCCATCATGCCTAGCCTCTCCGACCTCTGGTGCCACTACACATTGGCCCTATGTGCATTATAGTGCTTGGCCTCTCCAATCCATGACACCACTGCATGTGGCCCTATCAACCTTTGTCCATCATCGTGTCTGGCCTCTCTAGCCCTTGGCGCCATTAAACACAACTCTATTAGCCATTGTCATGCTTGACCTTTTTGGCCCTTGGCACCAATACATGTAGCCCTATCGACTGTCTGTATACTACCATGTCTGGTTGTAACTTCTTTGTGTGCTACCATGCCTAGCCAGGAACATGTCGAGTTTGGGTACTTAGCTAACATGCTACGTCGACACTACTAAGACAAATGTACCAAGTTAGGCTTATCGAGTCGGGCAACTAAAGTTGGGTTTATCAAGTTGAGCAACTCAAGTTGGGTTCACAGAGTCAAGTCACCCAGTTTGAACC